TTTTCTAATATTTTTAAGGTGTTTTAAATGGGCCACAAGTTAAAAAGCTCATTCAAAGCGAAATTTTTATTTCCAAATTAAACCCAATTGAAAAAGAAGCTTGGACATCTGCTGTTAATGTCTTTGAAAACTTTCTTGGTAACCATCGAGCTGAAAATTATATAGAAATTGTGCAAAAAATGATCTCTGCGTATGGCAATATGGGAGTATTAATGTCATTAAAAATTCATTTTTTGCATAACCATCTAGATTTTTTCCAAAATAATATGGGTGATTACAGTGATGAACATGGAGAAAGATTCCACCAAGACATAGCTTTAATCGAAACTAGATTTAAAGGTAAAAATTTGGTGCACATGCTCGGTGAATACTGTTGGTCACTTTGTCGTGAAACGGCAACAAACTCACTAAAAAGAAAAAATAAAAGGCCAAAATTTGAAAAATAATTGAGTTGTATCAAATATTTTTATTAAACTAAATAATATCAGACAGTTTGTTTTATTGTGTTCAGCGTTAAAACAATTTATACGGTAGTATTGTTTTTTTTTTACTTTTGAGTATTAAAATTTTATGGACGTAATAATAAAGTAGTTACAGTCTTATGATTCTGTAAGAGTTCTTTAAAATGCCCTTTAAGAACATTTGTAAGCTTAAATAAAAAAAATAACATTAATATTTAGTATGGAAACTTTCTACGAATTATCTTTAAATTTTGTGTTGAAAACCAAATAAAAAAAAAAATTGACGTGTACAAAAAAATCGCCGATACACGAGTCTTTTTTTTTATCGTCTTCTATCCGATTTTTCAAGTTTCATCGATGCGGGCAATTTTGTGTTGTACGGTGTAATGTGAGGTTAGATCAGTTATATTTCGTTTTTTTTTTTGGTTCTCCAAAAAAATTAACATTTTTTGTATAAATGTTTTCATTTTCTTCGTAAAAATGGTCAATAAATAATTTAAAATCCTCAATTTTTTTCATGCAGTATCCGATATCTACAATTTTAGATTGTATTATATTAAAAAGTATATCGGTTTCCTTAAATATTCTGTAAAATATTTCTAAAAAATAATTAAATTCAAAACTATTTAAAATAATTTCATATGTGCTAGCAGATGAGAGAGTTTCTCCGTCCCAATTGGCTGGATTTTCGCTCATTTCCGTAAAATTTTATGTTCACTACAGATAACATTAACAGTTCTAGAATTATACGCCCATCGGGTTACTGCAACGCGTGGTAATTTTTTTGAACAAAATTTATTGTACAAGTCGGATCGTTTGGTACTTAGGTGAAAAAATGCTGCTAGGTTTTTAATTGTTACTACAGTAGTAAAAAAATGTTTAGTTTCCACGACTCTACCACACGATTTAGATAAAACTAAATTTAAAATATGTGCACTGCACCAGACATACATCGCGTTAGGACAAGTTTCGCGGACTTTTTTTTGAACACCATTTTTTTCTGATGACAAAACCGCGGCACCATCATAAGTTTGAGCAATTAATTTATCGGTACAATTATAATTATCTAATACATCAATTATAATCTTTGTTAGTGTTTCTGCAGTACGATTAGAACTTACGTCAATAAAACCGACAAATCGATCAGCAACATTATTATATTGATCAAAATATCTTAAAATAACGCACAGTTGTTCTTTACCGCTAACGTCAGGGGTCTCATCTACCATTATAGCAACGAATTCTGTTTGCTTTATTTCGGATTGTACCCTATTTGTAATAACAGTAGCTACACTGGATATTAAGTCATTTTGAATTCTGTTAGAAAGTCCACTAAACACGGCCCTGTTTTCTGTTTCATTAATTGATTGTAAATGATCACCTAAACTACCGTCGTAGTTTGCCAGTAATTTAACACATTCTATAAAACTTCCACGATTACCAGAATTAACAGATTCAAAATGCCCACGAAATGGAAGCTCTTGAGAAGCCAAATAACAGGTTATATCAATTAATCGACGCATTATGTTTCGATTTCTATCGACCTTTGCATTATGCCTTTCAATCTCTTCCCGAAATTGACGTGGAAGACTAGTTTCTATGCGGGTTTTACCAAAACTGTACAAGGCAAGTGCACAATTTAAGTGATTAGTAGACTGATCATGTTTTTTTGTAGCATTTGCAAAATTATTTAAATCAGTGAAACCAGTCTTGTTAAACACATTTTTTTGTTTTGAAAATAGTAAGCAGGGCCAACAGTACATTTTGTTGTTATGGACACACCCACACAACCACTTATAGTTATCATAAAACTTAATATTAAAATTTTCACTTAATGTTTTACTGGAAAACGATATTTTTAATAACCTTTCAACACAGTTCACATCTACACCACAGTTACAATCCGTTAAAATATCAATTTTTTATTATTTTAGGTTATTAAAATATTAAAATTGACTTTATCAATCAGCTGATCGCCACCCACACCCAAGACAACGCTTCTTACTCCCACTAACAAATTTTGCCCCCACCTACATAAAAGCACTGCTTTAAAACTGCTGTACGTTTGAATACGAAATAAGATTTTGTGCTTGCCCAATCTATTCTATGCGATGCTTATACGTAAAACGAATCTGCGTTTCACCGTGATAGTATCACATTGATACAATAGATGGCAAAAGTAAAGGCACCTATAAATTGTTTAATAAATATATTATTAAATTTAATAATAAGTATTTTTTCATACAAATTTTATAATTCTTGGATTTACAATATTTACTTTTGGATTAAATATAAGGTATCTTTTATGTAAGTTAAGCAATAATTGTACTCTGTCAATAACAATATAAGTTTTCCTAACAGTTTGGTTGGTTTGGTCTCCTTCCACGATAAGATAAGTTTGAATTTCTGTGCTTACTTTCCTTTTTGCAGCTTTTTCAATTTGGCGTTCAATAGTCGGGTTAATATCTCCAGTAACCTTTATAAAAATATTTTGTGAAATGTGCAAAAAACAAATTTGAAAATTTTACCTGACAAAATATAATTAAAGCTTCCACTGATTCTAAAATAGAAAATTTCCAGTTTTGTTTTCCATTAGTAAGTCTTCCTTTAGGGGGTATAATTTTTGGCTGACGCAATTCTTTGGGCTGACGCTGTGTAAAACGCCTACACAAACAGGGTTAGCGGACACGTTCGGGAGTGGGGAATATTTTTAAGAATAGGTCAGTCGTACCAATAGAATAGAATAAATATAAGTATATTTATATCCAGTATAGTTTTATCCCTTTAAGAATAGAATGGGCTTGGAGGGAATTTTCTAAAATTTAGTCTAATCGATTGTTAATCTTAAAATAAGAATAAGATTATTTCATCTAAAGTCTTTCTTAACATTTAACAAGCAAGAATAAGATCTGCTTGTTTTAAAAAAGATTTTTATTTAGTTTAACGTTAGTTTTAGTCTTGACAATATTAGGTCAATCATCTTATTTCAACTGTACTTAATTTTAAGTTAAGAAATAAAATCTTTTTAATTTAAGGATTGGTTTATTCTTATAACAAGATTAAGTTATTCGTAGCCCAAGCAAATTATACTTAAATCAAGTGAATTTTCTTAAGAATAAAGGTATTCTTACATTTAGAAATCTTTTTTTTTCGTGTAGGCAATGCTTTTTTGCTTGTATTGTATGCACGCCACTGATTAGTAGTAGGGTCAGTTGCACCCTAAATTATCTTTAAGAAGCAAAAGTGTATTGAAAACAATATTTTAGATAATGAAAATTCATCCATACAAATTTGCTTAAGCAAAGCTGCTGCATACACTGGAATTTGGAAAAAAAGATAGACGTTTAGACTTTTGTTTATGGGTGGGTGCAAATTACATTGAAAACTGAGGATTTTTTTTTCTACCGACGAATATACATTTTGCACTAACGGGCAAAATAATTACTTAAAATAAACTTCTATGATTATTTCATAAAAATGGGTATTTAGTCTTTATTTTAGATTATAAACAACTTTGTTTTATAAAAATGTTATCCAAAACAATAAATAATCGTACTTCTCTCTTGAAGCACTTTTATTTTTTCGTAATTTATATACCCCCTGTACATCTGATCTGAATTTGTGTATGAAGTACCCATTATTTTGACGAGCAGAATTTTTTATACGAGAATACAATGACTTTTCGTCGTATAATTAATAATAGACTGTTCTCCTCTTACCAAGTCACTGTATATTGCATTATTTTCAGAAAATTGGACGAAATTAGCTTGACAGTGGCAGAAAATTAAGTTAATTAAGTTAAATTAAATTAAGTTAAGTGGTGCCTAGTGGATTCTCAGTTATTAGACATGGGACCCACATCAAATTTATATGAGTTTATAATGACATTATATAGACAAGTTCTGCGTTAAGCAGAATTTAAATTGAAGTTTTCGAAAAAAGTTAGTTTTTAAGTGTGCCCCCAGCTTCCTGCTCCCCCAAATTAAGATAATTTAAATTTGGTAAAAGAAATAATAAAAATTTAAAATGGTATAAAACCTGTAATTTTTTATTTTATTTAATAAAATTTGAAATTTGTCGATAAACTTTGATGAATTAAACATTTTACAGAATATACCTACTATTATTTTCGTATTTGTTTAAGAAATAATTATATTATTATAATTATTACTATTACATTGTTTTAGAAATGACTCAGCTTTTAACATTTTTACGATTTTATTATTTATTTTAAAACCTATGATTTACATCAAGATTTGATTCAAAAGTTTTTTTATCAATTCAGCAACTGCCTATTCTATTGATTTATTTAATATAAGTAAACGAATTTATACGGTCATAAATATATAGGAAATCAATTATTATTTTATATCATTGCAATGCATTGTTAAAAAACAATAAAGCAAATTAAATTTTTTATAATTTTCTTCACTTTTTGAAAATGTTCTTTAAAAGTCCATTTAATAATTAAAAATCATTATAATAATTTTCATTTAATATCATTACAGTTCTTCTAAAACTTTGCAATTATTTTTTTAGGTTATGAAACGATTAAAGGGGTCCTGCATTAAACTCCACGAGCATACGCAGGCCTGTGTTGCGGAAAACTACCTTGAGGTAGCCCATCCACAATGCATGTATAAGTAGAAAAAAACCAGAATAAATATGTTATGAAGAACCGCAATGGACAATGATAACGATATAATTCTTAAAACACATGGGCTATATTATATTTTAGGTTGTATTATAAAACTTTGATTTTACAATAAAAAGATGCAGTGATATCCACGTTAATTAATTTTTCTACACCCACCTTTAAAACGCCCATTATCGTACATGTTTCTATGACACTAAGTAAAATACAAATTGACAAGTTGTGGCTTTATGGCTCACGGGCTGAAGTTAGCAACAAGTTTTTAGTCACGTTTTGAAGTTAGTTTTAAGTTAGTTGACAGTGGTAAATGTCATACAATCGTTAGAATAAAGTGCCCTTGTAAAATAATACACATAAAAAAATCTAACATATTACCAAGAACAGCGCTGTCATTGAATGCATTAAAATTGAAGCAATCTAAATTGTTATTTGCTCAATTAATTACTATTAAACCAAAATATGGAAACATTTTGCCTAAATGTCAAAGAATTTATTGCATTAAATGTATACATAGTATACATACTATCATGGGCGCCCTTACCTAGGGGCAAGAGCAGAGGCGGATTAAATGTCGAGAGCGCTGTAGGCAAGCACCTCATTGGCGCCCCTTCAGCGGCCATATATTAACTAATTAATTTTAACTTTTACTTACATAATAATTAGCTGTGCTCTGCGGTTTGATCCGCATGATGCCCCATACCGTTCGGTTTCGGTCTCCAGCTATCTACATACCAAGTTTTATCACAATCGGTTTAGTAGTTTTTGCACGAAGAAGTAACACACACACTTTCGCAGTTATAATATTATCAGGGTAAGTACACGTGTCCTGGCGTATACTTATAATTAGGTATTATACCTATAATAGGCCAGGACACGTGTACTTACCTTTAGGCGTGAATGAAATATATGGTATACATTTCTAAAGAATTAACTTCTACAACATCTTTTACATGTACCGAATAATAAGTTTTAAGGAAACATAAAAGTCGCTCATATACAGTGTAGTTTAAGGAAAATAATGGGCGAAATTAGAGCAAAGACTTACTACTTGGACAACGAAAATCAGTGTACCTGTTGTCCAAAGTCTTAATAGAAACATAGTGCATTATAAAGCAACCCCAACAAGTGAATATAGTGAATACGGACACGGAAGTAATTAAGTGATAAATGACAGCATACCTGAAGATCTAACCCTAGGCCAATATGAATCACCTTATGTAAGGAACAAACTAGCCTAGACTGGAAGGGGCCATAATCTGCAAAAATCTAGTACCAATTAATCAACCAGTTGCGATATTTGCCTAACTTAAACATAAACCACTTAACACCTCTAAATTTTAGGCATTGTATGCTTCTAGCTGTAAAGAAAACGTAAATAAAATTTCTATCACATAATGAAGACAACTATCCATTGATAGTTCTCGACCCCTACACTGAGGAAACGGTTTTCGAACAGTGGGGCAAACAATTGCTCACAACAGTTTCCGAATTTCAGCAGACTACAGACCAGCAAAGATAGGTCCTAGCAGCGTACTAACCAACTAAACCTCATACATGAACCCCAAATAAATGGGGGATTACTAAATCCCTGGTTAAGGAGGATTCCGGATTGTACTTAGTTTTGGGTCAGTCCAATGTCACCCAAAAACCAAAATGTTTTCCCTTCTTGTCCTAGGACAGCTGTACTCCACTAGCCTAAATCTGGCGTATGGCCCGGCCCGACGAAAAAATTCCGGGAGTGGCCTTAACCATCCAAACTGTCATCCTCGACCTCCTAGGCGTTGCCGATGGGGCCCGCCATTCGTTCCTTATTCTCATACTCATACTCAATTTTAATTTTATGTTTAATTATTTTCTTCGTTTCAAACTCACGTGTGCGTGCTGATTAAACAATCAAACCAAAAAGTTGTAAATCTGTCTTTAATAAATACCTACTCGGTGTTCATAAAAACTTACGTTTTTATCAAACCTCGCGCCCCCTTGTAACCTCGCGCCCCTAGGCACGTGCCTAGTTTGCCTTAGGGATAATCCGCCTCTGGGCAAGAGGGGGCACTTGCCTCCCCTGGAAATCTCCAAACTAATTGGGAAAATAGAAAGTATATAGAAGATATAGGTAAAATTTTTAAATGAAGAATGCAATTTTTTTCCCAACATTAAAATGTGTTTCCAATTTTGGTTTTGCCACCTACGACCTGTTCAATTGAGAGGTCTTTTAGCACACTTAGAAGGGTTAAGACCTGGCTTAGGTCAACAATAGGAAAAAGTCGTCTTTCTGGGCTTTGTCTAATAAGTTTGCATCGGGATTACGTAAATCAAAATCAAAATACTATAATTAAAAAGGTGATATGTTTGCCGCAAATAAAAGAAACTTAAAATTTCTGTTTGATGAGTAGATGTTTAAGTTTTGTTTTTTTTTTTGATTTCTTAATAAATATTATATGGTAGTAAAAACTGTTTTATTAAGTAAGTTTATGTGCAAAAAGTGTTTTTCCAAAATGTAGTTCGGTACCAATTTTTCCTTTACCCTTGGATTTAAATGTAATAATTAAGGTTTATGTGTGTAAATTATATATATTTATTTTTTTATATATTTTATAACGTATAATGTATTAATATATTTTGGAACCAAGGTATTTTTTTGCTACACATTAAATTATTTGTTTGCCCCCCCTGGAAAATTTTGTATGGGCGCCCATGTATACTATAGTAACGTTATTAAATAAATCAAATTAGTATTTAATGCAATAACATTCTAACAAATAAATATCAATATAAAAATTAATAGATTTAGGAGCGATAATTTATGTTGTTAATTTAAAAACAGTAAACAATTATAAACCAAGTGCTAACTACCTATTGGTATTATAGGAACTGTTATTCATAAATACGGATTACAAGATCCCACGTGACTGAAGTTGAACGGTCGACGCGTAGCGGAGGTCGGTCATCAGTCGGGTGCGGAAAAGACACTTTCCGCAATTGTTAGGTACAATGTTTTACGTCTTTTGCAAGTTCAACATAAGGTGGTTGAACTTCAGCCGCTGAGTTTGGAGAATCTGCATTTTGTTTTTTGTTTTATAAAGACGCGTCTACATAACCTTCAGAAACTTTGGTTGACTTCCATTATTTTAAAAATTTAAGACTATACCATGTTTAATTTTTTAAAATTTTAGTCAAAAAAATTAAAATTTAAAATGGTATAAAATTTGTAATTCTTAGATCTTTTAAATAAATTTTGAAATTTGCCGATAAAATGTAGTGTATTACTTTAATTTGAATAATCTTAATTAGGGGTGACAGGGGGCTGGTGAGGCGCGCTGAAAAAGTAACTTTTTTGGTGTGAGTCCCATGTCTACTACCCAGATAGCACAAAGAAGTACTAAAAACGTCCTGAGTATATCTTGTATCAGACATTAGTAAGTTCCGAGTACGTCCGAATCAGGTCCTGAACCTTCCCCAGGACGTTCCAGGGACATCCGATGTTACCAAATCGTCGGTCCCCAGAACGTCCTAAGGAAGACATCCTCTGGCCATCCTGAAATTTTATTGGGGACTAATGGACAAGCTTTACAGAATTGAAGAGTGGTATTCCCAAATGCCCAGACAGCAATATGACGTCTTAATTAAGACTTATTTTATTAATTTGTTAAATGAATTTTATTAAAATCATTTTAATAATTTGCTCGTATTCGTTTATTTTAGGAATTGCGATTACTTCGTCTCACTTTTGTTTAAATTTAAGCGTGCTCTTCACCGGCACCGATAGACGGCCTGTTACCCTCTTTTGGAGCTCGTCAGTATCGGGTAGCCGTTTACCTAGGTCTAAGACCGTTTGGTATGAAGCACGTTCTAAATTCTACTTCGCGGCTTCTTATATCAAACACAAGCAGTTACAGCGGTGAGAAGAAAGAATCGCATTAAAATGTCATAAATGTGACGTCTCCATGTTGACGTCTTAAAGAGTTAATAATATGATTTCAGTAAGAAGTAAGAAAAGAGAATACTGTAAGATATCATATAACTAAAGTCTTATTTATGATACCTACCCTTAGTAGCTTCTAATTTTGATTCCAATAAGAGGTCAGAAAAAAAGATACTTTAAGAAGTTACAAAATAAAATTGTGAGTTATCAATGAAAAACAAATATTTTGCACATGTAAATGTTGAAATGTCTAAAACACGTTTGGAATTGCATATTCCGCTCTCCTGAAACCGTCAAACTCGCCTTCGGCTCGTGTGACAAACTCTTCACTCGAGCGGATATGCTGTATTCCAAACTTGTTACAGAATATACTATTAAGTCATTCTGCATGACACAAACTTTTTTTAAATGATAATATATTATTTAACCAACTTGGCACTTAGACCCTTTGGAAATACAATGCTTCAATTACGTCCTTGAGACGTACCCAGTATATCCGCTATAATTTTCCCAAATAAGTAAGAGACTGGACGTACCCAAAACTTCCGATATAGGTCTAGGACGTTCGGACCTATGTGGGACCCGAAATGGACGTCCTGGGTACCTCTTGTGCTATCTGGGTAACTGAGATCGGTATACCCAAAATCCACTTTTGACGATTTTGTTTATTTCAACACATTGGACAAAACACTTTCCATTCTGATAATTTAAGAAAAATCTTTTGTGGGGTGTACTTTGTGGTCGCAGTAATGTATATTTTTTAATTAAGTTTAAATTTTTTTCACCGCTCACTACAAAGGTTCTCCGTTGATATGTTTTATTATCCAGAATGACAATATGTATAAAATCTTTAATGTACTTAATATTATCTATGGTTAAATATGTTCATTCTTCACGACAACAGGCGCCTGCTACTACGATTAATGTGGCAACTTTAGTTAAAAGGTATACATCATCTGGAGCCTCATTGCTCTATATCATTTCTTGATAGAGTTTAAGATACTTTTGGCCGAAATCCAACATTCTTTGTCTCAATAAAGGCGATCACTTTATAATATGTGATTATATTCAAATTATGTTTTTAATACAGATTTTAACATTAAGTATCTGGACCATATATAACGTGGTTGTATATACAAAAAGATACTTAGGGCACTCTGTATATCTGTATTTTATGTAAAGGAAAGTTCTGAGAGTAAATCTATA